ACGTACTTCATAAATAAAATAACAGAGACCGGTCGATTGAGGCTGTGGATTGTGGCGACGAGATCCTTAAAGTGTGGATTCTGAAAGGGTAAAATGTGAACAAGGCTAGACAGATGACCATATCATTGGCTTTTAATAAAATTTAAAGCAGACAAATAGATGAATACTGCTAAATTAAGAGGAATTATTTTAACGCCGACATCAGTTTGTGCAGGTGGCGAGGAGGATGACATGATACGGTAAGGATGACTTGTATGAGCACCAAAACAGTATACGGGAATAGAAAAGCCCCCGTCCGAGTAATAAATTGGCCCAGAGCATATGAATTGCCTATCTTTGTAGTGAATGTTCATTTTATTTCGACAACGAGGTTTCGTGTTTAGAAGGTCAATTGATACGACTAAAACAGCCATCCACGCGAAAAAAATAATGTCCGAAAAACAATACTCGGTTAAAGACATCTAAGAAATAACTGGTTTTTAAGGGCTTGATACATACAAATCACAGAACCCTAACTTACCGCTCTCCACTGTTTTCAGTGAAAAGTACCGCAACAGGTACGTAGGTACTTATGTCTCCAAGAGGGCTCGCACAGAAAACAACAGACCTTGTTTTCTCCGAGAATATTCCATGGCATAGGAGTTTGTGTAGACGGTACTAGTAAGACCATTTATGCGTTGGTTTCTGATGTTGAATGGCCCTTCGGTTGCTGGTATGGGTTTATTTCCTAATTTCATATGAACAGGCGTGCTCTTTAGTCCTAGCAATGGAATTTCGACGTGGGACCGGCAAAATTAAAATTCGAAATCGCCGTAGACGGTATTACGGACAGAGCTATTGAGCATGATTATATATGCGACACTTATTACGATATATACGACAGTTCGACCATCGCTAACGACCATGTCCACCCGTGCCTCACAGCATAATGGGTGCGGGAATGGTTACTTGCACTCATTATGACAGAACAGTGGTTAATTGAGCTACTACTTAAAATGTTTAAGTAGGACGTTTTTACATATAATAGGTAGAACGTTGTCGGCATTGCC